TCTAAAAAGAGAAGGGAAAGAAGGAGAAATTTTGTATGTATGTATATACAGGATAATTAACATAGTTGATCTACTTCTATTTCTTTGCTGAAAGAGACAGTTAATGAATCCTTGATTGATCAATACTGCATGTCTCTGTTTTCATGAGAAACCACTTTGAAGATATCAATATGTAATACAACAAGAATTGTTAATTGCCTACCACTTTCTTTGTAACTCTGTATTGTTTGTATTGTTCTTTTACTATTTTGTAAATGGCCGTCAATGTTTTCCTCCTTTTATTTTTAAAATAAAAAAACAATATTAGTGATATAGCTACCTGCTACTGAAACTTACAAGGATCATCACAGAAAACAAAATAAAAGATTTCTTATTTTAAAATAGAAAATGTGAAAATGAAGAAGCAAATTGCAGTCTCAGACCTTCAGCCTATCCAGAACAAGTCCAGGAGACACTGACATGGAACTTCTAAGTCACACACTAGAAATTTCTGACATAAAGGCAATTGAAGTAAAGAAACAACTCTATCAGGCTAGACAAGAAATCAGTTCATAAATAACTTCTCAGATAAAAAAGAAATGACAACAGTAAAGAATGAATTGCTCAACACATATAAAGAAGACATAGATAAGAAATAGAGAAGCATAGAAAAATGAGGGGAAATGTGAAAGAACAATATAGGAAAGAATTAGAATGCATGAAATAGATTGAAAGAGATGCCCAGGAAATTAAAAATTTCATTGAAAGCTGGTGAAACTCCTTGAACAAAACTGAAGACAGACTTTGAGACCTTGAAGACAGCATTGCAGCTAGCAATCACAAAAGGAAAGATCTCTTAAAAATAACAAGGAACCAGCAAATATCAATTCAACAGCTGCAAGATGAGGCAAAGAAAATATGTTACTGCTGCCTGTGTTGATGGCTGGGGAGAGGACACTAAGTGGTTGTGGGATCCCAATGTGCTGGGAGGTTGGAGAGAACATCTCTCTGCTTTCTTAGACAAGAGACATTGATAAAGCATATTTCCCTGGATCCCAGATCAGTAGAGGGACAAACTACTTTTAAAGATAAGTTTATTACTCAGTCAGCCCTGAATAATAGAAAAAAACTACAAAAAATGGCCTTATCCCCAGATAGCTCACTTGAGATGTTAGTAAGAACTGCCTCCTTAGTTTTTTATAGCCATGAGGAGGAGGAGACCAAGGAGAGAAAACAAAGAGAC